AGCTACCGTAGCAAATTCTTATATAATGAATACTCATGAAAATTTTAGGTTTTTTAAAAAAAAATTTAAAAAAATTTAAAAATTTTTTAAAAATTTTAGAATTTTTTTTTATTACAAAGTTTATTTTTACATCATTTTGCACATTTTTTTTCCATCTCGATTGTAATCCCCACGGGTTTCCCATCACCAAATCACCCCTGTGCCACCACCATAGTCCCGTGCATTTCCCTCCCTCCCCCCCCGTTTTTGATTCCATTCCCCACACCACCCTCACAGAATGTCTAACAAAAATAATGAAAATTTTAGGTGTTTTATTGGAAAACACTTTCATCACTCCTGTAAATACATTTTCAGTGGACTTAAAAAAATCTAGAGTTATCAAGGGTTACTTTTAACATTTTTCTTGCAGTAATGTCAGTTTACCTCATTAAATTTTGAGTATGGGACCTTTTCTCTTAGTGTTGTTCCCATCATGCACCCACTGCCAAAGTGCCCAAGTTCCTCACTAGATTTAGAAAGAGCCACAGGCTGCCCACATGGGGCATAATGGATTGAAGGCCAGGACCTGTGAGTCTGTGGCCAACCACCTTGGCTTCTGTGGCTGGAGCTCAGGAGTGAGTGTCAGAGCTCTCCCGGCTTCTCTGTGTGCATGGCCGATGCGACTGCCCAGACCTCACTGTTGTTCATGTCTGAATGTGCAGGCCATGGTTTAACCTCTTGAATCTAAAATGGACCAAGCTAATTGGAGTTTAAGTGCATCAATTAGTGAGGATGGTAATTGGTAAATCAGGCTTGAAAGGCAGGGGCTATAAGACAGTTTCCAGACAGTTAAGATTCATTCAAACTTTGGGATTCAGACTCATGAGGACCTCCTCCTGGAGAAAGCTTCTTGGACAGACTTGTCAAGACATCCGATGAGAGGCCTATCCACTGTTCCTGCTTCAGGCCCTGCCTCTGACATCAGAGGCTAACAGAACCATTAGTCTGTGTCCATGGCTTGGGGCTGAAACACTCATTCTGTGCTCTGGCACCATGGGCACTGCTGACCTATGTCCAACTGCCTCTCAGAGCTGCTACCACTTCCAAGTCTCCAGTGGCCTTCTGGCTCTATGGCCTCTGGCACTGCTTTGTCTGGAGTCCAAGGGCCAGCGAGGCCTTTAAAGGCATTGCTGGCTGCTATAGCTCCACCCCGGAAGCTCTGTACCTCTGGCTGCCACTGGGAATTGAAACTTGGCCCCAGATTCAAACCATCTTGGGAGGGACAGCGCCATCTTGCATGAGTGGCCTTTGTTTTGGACAACCAGATACAGTGGACACTATCTGGGCTGAGACAGCTGGCCACTTCTGCCTTAGAAACTCCTTTCACGATCCCACAATTGAAAACCCACAATGTGAGCTGTCTGCCAGCCTTGGCATTGTCTTTGGCACTGTTTGAATTACTAACTTAGGTAGTGCTGTCTTCTCATTGTCAGAGATCATTTTCAATTTATCTCAGTGAGTTGAAGTCAATAGATTTTTATATGAAATCATATCAAGAGAAAATTCTAAATAATTGTATTCTTAAACACTCTATGTTATGTACTTTCCATTTTCTGCACTTAATCCTTTCAGTAAGCATATAATACTATGATAATTATTATTTCTATCTTATTTATTCATTTGAATATTTGTAGACTTTATACTATGTTCCTGTTAGATTGGAAAACTGAGGTTCATCGATTTTAACTAATTTGCTAAAATCACATGGGCAGTCACAATAAGAATAGAAATAAAGAACTCTGATCTCAAAATCTCCATTTTTCTAATGGTTGTTATGATGTCAAAATTTAAATAAATACTGAAAAAATTAGTAAATAGAATAGTTAAGAAGATCTAATTTAAAAATAATGCTGTATAGGCCCTCCCTGGTGGCTCAGCGGGTTAAAGCACAGCACTGAGAAGCTAAAGCCACTTCCGCATGAGTTCGATCCCCGCCTGCCCCGGAGGTGACCACATGGCATGGCAGACCTCTCCTGACCTGCCCACTGCTCCCCTCAGCAGTGTACTTCATCTATCTGCCTGTTCTGCTCCCAACTCTGTCTCTGGTGAAGCCTCTCACCTCCCCTGCACCTCTGGCCTATACCCCAGTTCTGTATGCATAGATAAATCTTTAAAAAAAATAAAAAAAAATAATGCTGTATAGGTAAGGTTATTTCTAGAGCATGTAAGTATTTAAAAGAAAATTAAATTTTTGATTATGCTATACAGTGGTAGTTTTAATGTTTGATATTCTCGAGAAAACTTACTAAGTATATTTGTCAGACATTAGCTTTTATAAGGAACTGTTTTACAAAGCGTTATTAAGTCAAAGGATTATTTAGATGAAACTAAAGCTAGAGATGATTTATTAGTTCCTTCTCATTTTGACATTTGAATACAAGACCCAAAAGAATTGCACCCTGGCGGAAGTAGACAAATATACAATGGAAAAGAAAAAGAAAAAAGAATCTAACCTTGTTCCTTCCTCCAATCTGTTATTTTTACAAATGGAAAGATAAAATTATATTTCATACTCTAATGATTTATATGTTTAGGACATAGCACCTCATAATATTTTGCTCCTACCTCAACTATGCTGTGTTTCACTACAATTATTGGAAGTATTTAACCCTTCAAAATCTGGTTCTTCCTTCCCTGTTAATTGCTTTTTAAAATCTGTCATCACTCTTTAATCACATATTGTATTCCTTGTGAACAACTAACTTTTTCTTTAAGCATATTTTTGTGATATGATTCATTGTCTATGGTGTCTTCTTTCCCTCTGTGGTCTTCCCCCCCCTTCCAAAAGATCTATTTATTTATACACAATATTGGGGTACAGGCCAGAGGTCCGGAGCTGGGGGTGGTGAGAGGGTTCACCAGACACAGAGTAGAGAGTAGAGCAGGCAGATCGACAGAAATCCACTGCTGAGGGGAGCAGCTGGAAGGTCAGGAGAGGTCTGCCATGCATTGTGGGTCACCCCCTGGCTGGGGATCAAACTCGTTTTGTAGTGGCTGCAATAGCTTCACAGTGCTGCACTTTAACCTGTTGCACCATCAGGGAGGACTGTCCTTTGTGCTCTTAAGTGTGACCCTAGATCTTGTTCTGTCTACTTGGGTACACTCAAATATTGCCTGTCCTTTGTAAGTCTCTTGAAAAGTCATCAATGACTACCCTTTTTATTTGTCCTATTGCTGCTACAATTGTGCATTGCACATAAGAAATGACAATTTATTAGTTTATTTCAAATAAACTACATTATAGCATATCTATTGTATATCAGCCTGATAAAGTGAATATTGTATAAATAACTTGAAAAAAAAATCAGATCATGAATGATTGAGAACCTGAAGATACTATGCTTATAATTATGTAGAATTATTTTGCTTTATAACTTGGTGTCTTTAATCTTTTAATATTTCAGCTTTGTTTTAAATTTGAGGAATTTTTGTAATGCTCTGGAGTCATTGGAATTATGTAATAATACATGCATTACATCCAAAGTACATTTGAGGAACAAGTGCTATTTTATCAAGTTATAAGATAGCAGGATATCTTTTTTTGATTAAAATTCATTTACTGTGTTATCTGACTGAATGTACTTAAAAGAAATCTTTGACATGTTGATCAGATTAAATTGATTTAATCTTTACTGAAACTTAAGTTCAGCATTAGTCATGGATAATTACTGTCAAAAAGGGATATGTTCTAGCTATTCATTTACATAATATGAGCTTTCTTTTGGATTGCACACGAATTAATTATATTTCCTTTAATTGTAGCAGCTACATGCAACACACAGCTTCTAACTAATGTAGAATAGTTCATTAACTCATCAAAAATGGCCAGTATTCTAATACTGGAGTACAGGTTTAAGAGAAAGAAATTTAAGAGGGAGCATCTGAGAAAGATACATACCACCTAGATATATCAGATATGATTCAAATTATTATAAATCATTGCTTCTTCCCCAAAAGGAAAATTGCACTGATTCAGTTAGCTACCTCAGTTTGTGACTAAAATATAAAATTGTTACATTGCAAGCTTTAAACATTTCTTAATAATGACAAAAATATATTTTGATAAATCTTAAACTCTATTTATAGCATGTTTCAAGTGGAATTTAGCAATACTAAAATAATCAAAAATGCCAATTCTCTCATCTTTATAATTAAAAAAGCATATATTTTCATAAGCATTTTAAACTGAAGCAAATCTGAAAACAATTTTAAAATATTGTATACTTTGATACTCTATTCCAGTTTTGAGAATGCAAAGAAACCCCCTCCAAAGCTATGTAATACATTGGAAAAAAACCAGTACAATTTATGTAACATGTCTTGCTATTATAAATATATAATACATATATAATACATTGGTATATTTTAGTAAAGTTTGGAAAATCTAGTGCATCAGTTCTTGAAGATTGGCATGTATTGGAACAGCCTACAGAAGTTGGCAGAACCTACATTCTATCTCCAATCTATTTGGTTTCTGCTTCAGTACATCTAAAGTAGAGCTCAACATTTATATTTCAAAGTTCCCAGGTGATACTGGTACTGTGATTCTAAGATCACACATAAGAATCTTTGATTTATAGAATTATTTGCTTATAATTAAGATTTAAAAAATAACAAAAAATAAACATTTTTTTTTAAAGATTTATTTATTTACTCATATAGAACTGGGGTACAGGCCAGAGATGCGGAGGGTGAGAGGCTTCACCAGAGATAGAGTGGGGAGCAGAACAGGCAGATCGACAAAGTACACTGCTGAGGGGAGCAGCGGGTGGGTCAGGAGAGGTCTGCCTCACCATGTGGTCACCTCCGGGGCAGGCGGGGATCGAATTCATGCGGAAGTGGCTTAAGCTTCTTAGTGCTGTGCTTTAACCCGCTGCACCACCAGGGAGGGCCCCAAATAAACATTTTTGAAAGCATTCATTTGCAGGTTTGATATTAGACCTTCTCTGCTCAGAACAACTATGCACAGATTATGCTGTATATCTGTTTGTCTTTTTATGTGAACCTTTGACATGCATATATATGTTAGTTGAGCACATGAAGTCTAATGATTTCATGTTATTTATTTTTAGGGTTCCTGATACAGGATGGCCCTTTTGGATCTTGTGAAAATAAATACTGTGGATTGGGAAGGCATTGTGTTATCAGCAGAGGGACTGGTCAAGCAGAATGTGTCTGCATGGACCACTGCAAACCACACTACAAACCTGTGTGTGGATCTGATGGAGAATTCTATGAAAACCACTGTGAAGTGCACAGAGCTGCTTGTCTGAAGAAACAAAAGATTACCATTGTCCATAATGAAGACTGCTTCTTTAAAGGTAAGGATGGGGTGAAACTGAAGTATCACCCTCCTTGTCTTTTTTTTTTTTTTCCCTAATAAGTGCATTTGGGTTTAACTCTAAGATGTTTTTGTTGTTGTTGTTGTTGTTGTTTTGTTTGTTTGTTTGTTAATGAGCAAAGTACCTAAAAAGGGAAATGGGGAAAAGGTGGATTTCATCACACCAGTAAACAGCAATGGTATACAAATTTACATGGATAGGTTCCTGGAATTCATTTATGAGACAAAAGTCGGCAATATATGACTAAAATTTTAATATAGCTCACAGTGTTGTACCATATGGCTTTCCAATCTAGCATTATCTTAGGGACACAGGGTGTCCAGTTCAGTCAATAGGCGAAATCCATTCATAGAAAAGACCTTGAGTGGGACTAAGGGGATTGTGAATGCCAAACCATGCTATGATAAAATCTCATTTCTTCTTGAATAAGAACAATGGTTTTAATTTGTACTGCATCATTCAAGTATGAATGAATGTCCACAGAAATGTCTACAAGTGTTCATACTAAACTCAGTGGGTAAACCTGAGATGATCACAAGTTAAAATTGAAAAATATTGGTATTCATTTTTATAGTGCTTGAAATTACTATTTATGGAAATGGACTGTCCCACTGGTAAATTGATAGTTATTTTAAAGTGCTATATGAAAAAAATATCAGTATATTTTGCTTATAAATATATGTGTTGTGTTTCTATTTATAATGGTGGGAATCTTTTCTCATTGATAAATATAAGCCAGACTAAAATTCTTAAGTGTCAAATATGGAGAACTCCCATCATTCAGATAGGGCAGTGATGAATCTGATTTTCTCATCTCCAATAGGTTCCATGTTCTTCTTGCTTAGAATGGTCCTGAAATATGTAGGTACTTTGAAAACATGTTTGATATAAATTCTTGGTTTAAAGTTATGATCAAAATATAATGCTGTTAATTTTTACTTATTCATCTATAATATAAATACCTTAGGCTAAGCTTTCAAGCTATGTAGAATAAAATATTTCCTTTGTAATAAAAATTGATACACACAACTTTTTAAATGACTTCCATTGCAATGTTCTGTAGACATTGTGGCTACTAAAAGTCCTTTGATAAAACTGGGTTAAAATTATGAAGTTGTTTCCTTGTCATAGTGAACTATGTGCACCCGAAAATGTACAATTTTATATTGGAGTCTTCTTTCACAAGGAATGCCAGCTGTTTTGTTTCAAGTTTAGTTTATTCCCCTCTTCTATCAAATGTACTTTACAAGTAATGATGCTATTAGCATTGCACTTAAAGCTTAGTAAAGCTTATGTTTTCCTGTCATTTGATCTGAACTGTTAGAGTGGAGTTTTTACTATTCTAGAGATTTATGATATCATGAAAGTATATAGATACTGTACTAGTAAGCCAACCTATATCTATATCTATATATTTAATGTGTCATTCATTTACATATATGTATCAATCAGGTGTGAATACATATATGCATTCAAACTCCTTATGTCTACCCACTATACTCACCTTCCACCAAAAATGTCATATTCCTTCTTTCCTCTTCCCCGTTCTCTCTGGTAAACAGAGTATACCAGAGTGTAATAATTATTTCACAGAGTCTAAGAATTATTTTTGTTATTCTTTCCCAATGCATGTAACCTGCTTATTTATAGCCTACAAATAAGTAAAATCACCCTATACATTTCAATTAATGACTTATTTCACTTAGCTTAACTGCCTCAAGATCCATCCATTTTATATTCCAAAAGAACTACTTTATCTTTATTAAAATAAATGAGTTATATTCTCTTGATTATAGATTCCGTAAAATCTCAGTCATCTGTCACTAGGTACTTAGGTTGGTTCCATGACTTGTCTGTTGTGGATGATGTGGTTATGAATATAGGAAAGCAAAATATTTTCAATTTCCATTTACATCTTCTGTGGGTAAATATCTAGCAGTTGTATTGCCGAATCACATGATATTTCTTTCTTTCTTTTTTTTTTTTTTTAATGGTATCTTCAGACCATTTTCAAATGACACCTTATCAAAAAACAGTCCCACTAGGAGTGGACGATTTCTCACTTTTTATCCACGTTTTCACCAATTTATAATCATATTCCAAAGCTGAGATTTTGCCCAGTCGACATCCAACAATATGAAAACATGTATATTATATGCCAGATAGGAAAAAATTCTGGCACATTTAATGTTCTGCTTTTTCACTGGATGCTTTGGCATAATGTAACTTAGCATGTAAATCAGTATGAAGATAGGTGAATTAGTTAAAACCAATAATTTTGTCTTCCTTATGAATACTCCATGAAAGAGTGGTTTGAAAAAGTTTTGTTTTTCATTCTTAGTATATTTATTAGACCTAAAGTTGTTTCCAAATACTTTCTTCTTATTATAGTTTTATGATTTCATTTAAATTATCTTGTTGGTTACCAAATATTAGACCACATTCTGGATTTCAGAATTGTGAGTCCTATGTTTACTTGTTTGTTTTGGTGTTTTACCTAACATGCATATGACACATATCCAACTATTTCAGCAGAAATAAAATGAACAGTATAGAATAAAGCAGTCATGTCTACTATCTTATTGGATGGAAATTGGTGGCATTTTGGATATAAAAGAAGATAGTATTTAGCTGAATACCTAACATTGTTATGATGACTAAAATTAATTGTGGTTGTCAATTACAATTGTTCCTTTAAGTTGTTTCCCACCACACCTTTCCCCCAAAGTGCTTTCTAACTCATGGCATCACTTCTAACAAAGTATAGATTCTTCTCAGCCTGACACCAGGCCTGTGTGTCATATATAACAGTGGAATGCAGTGCGTCATATACTTACTCAGAGTGCAGATGTAAACGGAAGCAAGGAACTCGAGATATAACCTATGTGAAAGTGAATAGGAAATTAAACCTTTTATGAGAAAGTCAATTGAACAGATCCCTTTGCCATTTACTGTGCTGAGATAAAATCACCATAAAGACAAATGTTCTGTGCACTTAAATGTGCTTCACAAACTATAACAACTTGGGAAATATGTTTTTTATAGCCATGTGTGTGCAATTTGATTGAAAACCATGATTGAGATCATGGTTTTCTATTTGGGGGATATGATCTGGAGAGATATTCATATTCCTTTTTTTTTTTAATTGGTTCTTTTTTACATGGCTTTTTAAAAATGAGATTTGTAAAACTTAAGCTACCAATGATACTTTAAATTATATTAGTAAATGCCATGTGATAATGTACATGTACTTTAGATTGCCTTTTTTTCCTTGAAAGGTCACATTTGAAAGTTATTATTTTATGTTTAATACATTTTAGTTCCATTTCATAAAAAAAAAACAGTATCTTTACATATACTAACTTTGGAAATACCCCAGTGTCTATTTTTTACATATTTGTCTTTTAGTCAGTATTATCCAAGTGTAACTGCACACTGGTGGTGAAATTATTAACTTGTAAACTGTAAAATTTCATTACCTCTTCATTGGATCATAATATAGACACTCAGAAGTTTAAGTTTATTCACCTAAGTATATTCAGAATATGATGTCAAACCCATTTTGATTAATGCCATAAGTTTTCATAGATAAAATATTAAAATTTTCAGAATCTGGTGATTTGAAATCAACTGATATTTTAAAATTTAAAAACATATTTCATATTTAACCAAAGTTAATATTGTCATAGTTTTCTTTCTATTTTTGTTTCTAATCAGTATAAAGTATGGAAACCAATGCATTAGATGCATATATTTTTATATAATTCAATAATGTTATGCCTATGCATTAGAAAACAATACAACATATACATTCATACATTCACTGTTACGAAAATCATACCAAAAATAGATTCTCTCCAGTTTTTTTAATTCTGTAAAGAATTTTATAAAAATTACATACTATATATGTTTTCTTTTGTAGACAGAGTGGATTTGATGTACTATACATGTAATATGATGAATGATGTAAAGTGTGTTTTTAAATATTGAAAGCTATTTAATCAATGCATTAAAAATATTACCAGAAAATTTGTGTGTGAAAGAATCAGTGTTATTTACTTCAAAATCTTCCACAAATATTGTATATCTTTAATTCATCATATTAACACAGCAGTGTACTATGGAGAAAGAAGAAAATCCTAAGTGTTAAAAATGTTCTGCAACATTTGCACAGTAACTTCATGCTACTAGCCCCGAGACTTGGCTTCTTTCTAGTGCAGGTGTGCTCCAAATAGATCTGTGTAAGTCTATAGTACCATAGTATTTACTTGTCCACAATTAAAAAATATATTTTTAATTGTAATTTTCACTTATGTAAACATTTGAAAGTATTTAAAAACAATCTTGATCACTGTGATATTTATGAAGACTTAATAGTTTATATAACACAATACTTGCTCAATAGATGAACACAGGAACTACTGGTGACTGGTATACAGGATTAAATAAGTGCATATTCAATTCCAATTATTTTTTAATTTGATTTGGTAAAAGCATGTTTTTTTAACATTTATATTCATATCACTATAATTTTGTATGCAAAAACTCTAGTCAAATTATTACATACAGTGTATTTGCCAAATTATTATATGGTAAGTTTTCAGGTTGTAGGTTAACTATTTTTTAAAGAAAATAACTACCAGAAATTTAGATATTGATTTTTTTGTTTGTTTTTTATTGAGGCACCAAGAGTTTACAACATTATATAGGATTCAGCGGTTCAGATTTATTCATCTCTGTTCATTGACATGTGAAAATCTGATTTATTTTAGACTGATTTTGTTTGCCTTCTGCTATACAGACAATATCTATTAAATCATTGGAATGTTATTTACTCTTTGTTTATTTCTCTCTTCCCCTAAGCTGTAGAGACTAAGTGGGTTTCATCTGTTTATTTTTCATCTAATTTTCCCATTTGTGATATACAGGAATTTTAACCTTCAAATACATGGGTAATTCTATCTTGTGTATTTTCATGT